ATATATTTAATGCAATCCCTATCAAAATACCAACAGCAGTTTTCACAGAACTAGAACAAACAATCCTTAAATTTATATGGGACCTCAAAGACTCCAAAGTTGCCAATGCAATCTTGGAAAAGCAAAGCAAAGCTGAAGGCATCAAAATTCTGGACTTCAAGTTATACTACGAAGCTGTAGTAATCAAAACACTATGGTACCCACACAAAAACAGACATATAAATCAATGGAACAGAATAGAAAACCCAGAAATAAATCCACAGTTATATGGTCAATTAACCTCTGACAGTGCAGATAAGAATATCCAATGGGAAAAAGACATTCTCTTCAATAAATGGTGTTGGGAAAACTGGACAGTTACATGCAAAACAATGAAACTGGACCACTTTTTTACACCATACACAAAAATTCAAAATGGATTAAATACCTAAATGTGAGACCTGAAACCATAAAAGTCCTCAAAGAGTGCACAGGTAGTAAGGTCTGTGACATGAGCCATATCAATATTTTTCTAGATACATCTCTTGAGGCAAGGGAAACAAAAGCAAAAACAAACTATTGGGACTACATCAAAATAAAAAGCTTCCGCACAGCAAAGGAAACAATCTACAAAACTAAAAGGCAACCTACTGAATGGGAGAAGATATTTGCAAATGACATATCCAATAAAGGGTTAGTATCCAAAATATGTAAAGAACTTATACAACTCAACACCCCCCCCAAAAATAATCCAATTTAAAAAATGGGCAGAAGACCTGAACAGACATCTCTCCAAAAAAGATCGCCAACAGATAACCAACAGACACATGAAAAGATGCTCAATATCACTCATCATCAGGGAAATGCAAATCAAAACTACAATGAGGTATCACCTCACACTGTCAGAATGGCTAAAATCAAAAGCACAACAAACCAAACAAATGTTGGTGAGAATATGGAGAAAAAGGAACCCTTGTGCACTGTTGCTTTTTCAGTGGAATGCAAACTGGTGCAACCACTGTGGAAAATGGTATGGAGGTTCCTCAAAAAAGTTAAAAATAGAACTACTTTATGATCCAGCAATCACACTACTGGGTATTTACCCAAAGAATATAAAATACTAATTCAAAGGGATACATGCACCCCGATGTTTATAGTAGCATTATTTACAATAGCCATATTGTGGAAACAGCCCAAGTGTCCATTGACTGATAAATGGTTAAAGAAGACAAAGACACAGACACAGACACAGACACACACACACACACACACACACACACACACACACACACAGAGAGAGAGAGAGACACACTGGAATATTATTCAGCCATAAAAAAGAATGGAATCTTGCCATTTGCAACAACATGAGTGGAGCTAGAGAGTGTTATGCTGAGTGAAATAAGTCAGGGAAAGACAAATACCACATGTGCAGAATTTTAAAAACAAAACAAATGAGCAAAGGAAAAAGAGGAGATAGAAAGAAACAAGCCAAGAAACAGACTCTTAACTATAGAGAACCAATTAATGGTCACCAGAGGAGAGGTAGGTGGGGGGATGGGTGACATAGGTGATGGGGATTAAGGAGTGCACTTGTCGTGATAAGTACCAGGTGATATATCAAAGTGCGGAATCACCTGAAACTAACACTGTATGTCAACTACATTGGAATTAAGAATGAGTAGAGTAGAGCAGAGTAGGAGAGGAGAGGAGAAGAGAGACTAGAAATAGAATAGAATAGAGTAGAATAGAGTAGAATAACATTTGCTGCGTGCATTATCTTCCCATCAAACAGTGCTGGGTGAGGGTGTTTCAGCTCAGGCCACGAGTCAGCTACACCACAGTGGCCTTCACACGCTGTTTTTTCATTTGTAAGACGTCAAGAGCTTGGACTAGATGCTTTTAAAACCCCTATGGCTCTAACATTCTACGATTCAAGGATTCAACAGTTGCTGCTGGTGGAGAAAAGACACCAGAGCCAGTTGATGACAATGCTAATAAGTAGTGGGTCAACACTAAACAGTGTAACAAAGAGGCAGGGCAGCCTTTGCTAGAGCTGGGCTCTGGACAGGGTGCCTAAGGGAAGCTCAAGTGGTCCCTTACAGCCACCCCACAGCTTGGGGGTCCCAGGGTGGGAGACAGTGCTGTTCTGCCCTTGCCGCAGTGCCAACCCAGCAGCTGACGCAAGTACCTGAGAAAAGCCCTGCTCTGCTGTGGGGCCGGCTCCAGGCTCAGCACACAGGCTACTCATCACCGAGGAGCTGGTCTGCAGGCCCAGCAGTGCAGGGGATGCGGGGCATGCTGTCAGCTTAATAAGCCCAGGGTGCGGGGGACAGAAACGTGGCCCTGCTGCCAACAGGTTCCAGCAGACGGACCTCAGCTCTATGCCACCCAGCTATGGGAGCCCAAGAATCAGGAAAAACCCACCCTGTGATTCATAATGTGTTCATAAGACTTAATCCAAATTCTAGCAGACCTGGATTTTGTGGTTTATCAGACTCCTAAAAGAAGTATTTTTTTAAAAAGAAAAAATGTATAGACAAGTCAGGTTTTTTAAAATTTTTTACAGATTTTATTTAATTATTTGGGAGAGCAAGAGCAGAGGGAGAAGACGACTCCCCTACTGAGCAAGGAGCCCGACTCAGGGCTCAATGCCAGGACCCCAAGATTGTGACTTGAGCCAAAGGCAGATGCTTTAATGACTGAGCTACCCAGGAACCCCGGAAGTTTGCACTTCCTGATCCCATTCATCTATTTCACTCATCCACCTGCCCCCATCCCCTCTGGCAACTGCCAGTTGTTCTCTGTTACTCTGTTATTTATGAGCCTGTTTCTGGTTTTTTGTTTTTTCTTTTTTTTTTTTTTTTTGGTTTCCACATATAAGTGAAACCATATGGCATCGGTCTTTCTCTGATTTATTTCATACCCTCTAGGTCCATCTATGTTGTCACAAATGACAAGATTTCATTCTTTTTTATCGCTGAGTAATATGCCATGGTATATTTGTATATATAAATATATATATATATAAACACACACCAAACATCTTCTTTATCCATTCATCTATTGATGGGCACTTGAGTTGTTTCCATATCTTAGCTATTGTAAATAATGCTGCAATCAACATAGGTATGCATGTATCTTTTCGAATCAGTGTTTTGGCATTTTTTGGGTAAATACCCAGTAGTGGAATTACCAGATCATATGGTAATTCTATTTTTAATTTTTTGAGGAATTTCCATACTGTTTTCCATAGTGGCTGCATGAACTGACATTCCCACCAACGGTGTGGGAAGATCCCCTTTTATCCACATCCTTGCCAACACCTGTTATTTTTTGTCTTTTTAATACTAGCAATTCTGACTGGTGTGAGGTGTTATTGTGGTTCTCATTTGCATTTCCCTGATGATTAGTGATATTGAGCATCTTTCCTTGTGTTTGTTGGCCATCTGTATGTCTTCTTTGGAAAAACGTCTATTCAGGTCCTCTGCCCATTTTTTATTCAGAATTTTTTTTTTTTTTTGGTGTTGAGTTGTAGGAGTTCTTCATGTATTTTGCATATTACCTACTTATTGAATAAATAATTTGCAGATACATTCTCCCATTCATTAGGTAGCTTTTCTGTTTTGTTAATGGTTTCTTTTGCTGTGCAAAAGCTTTTTATTTTGGTGTAGACTTGATAACTTATTTTTGCTTTTGTTTTCCCTTGCCTAAGGAGACATATCCATAAATACATTGTCAAGGCTATTTGATGTCCAAGAGATTACTGCCTACGTTTTCTTTTAGGAGTTTCATAGTTTCAGATCTCACATTTATGTCTTTAATCCATTTTGAGTGTATTTTTGTGTATGGTCTAAGAAAGTGGTCCAGTTTCATTCTTTTACATGTAGCTGTCCAGTTTTCCTAATACCATTAATTGAAAAGACTGTCTTTTCCCCATTGTATATTCTTGCCTCCTTTGTCATAGACGAACTGACCATTTAAGCATGGATTTATTTCTGGGCTCTCTATCCCATTCCACTGATCTGTGTGTCTGTTTCAGTGCTAGTACCATACTGTTTTGATTACCAAGCTTTGTCATATATCTCGAAATCTGGGATTATGATACCTCTGGTTTATTCTTCTTTCTCAAGATTGCTTAGCTATTTGAGAAGACCCCTGCATCTTTATAACCAATTCCAACTTTGGTGTGAGCTAATTGGAATGGGTTTCAGATACTACTATCACATAAGTCCTGAAGAAGACACTCTTTCTTTACCTTTAATGCCTTTATACAGCAATAACGCATTTCTATACTAAAACCAAAGCTGATACAAATATGACATGGGTGCTGTCACTTTCCCAGCCAACTCCCCATGCAGACATGATGAAGGGGTCACAGCACTCTCTATGTGGGCCTCACAAGTCATCACCATAGTGTTCCATGTGGTCCCAAAGAAATTAACTGGAATTGGCACACAAGAAAAAAGTTATTGGCCATCAATGTTCTAGACTCAGGTGCACATTTACAAACCCATCTCCACCCATCCGTAAGGTTTGCTTTTTGTTTTTTTGTTTTTTTTTTTTCTTTGTCTCTGGGGATTTGGTCACGTTTTAGAGTTCATCAATTTGGGGCAATGGTTATTAAACCCCTTACAGAATCAGAGCACTCTGTTCTTTCTGAATTATTTATATTCATAAAGTATGGCCTACTAACTTATTTGTACATTACTCTGCCAGTTTATCCATAATTTGTCACAAATTTATATGCAGTCTGAAAAAAAAAATGATCCAACTACCACATGATAACCTGCAAACTTCAGGAACTGTAAATCCTGCGAACTTTAGGAAGTGTAAACTACCGGAAACCTGTCAATTGCAGGAACTGTGTCTGCCACGGCAAAGCCAAGAGTGCTCCTCCCCCCACTTAATGTCTTTATCACACAGCCTCCCTGTCCAACTGCAGCAAAAAGTCTTTCTGACTACCTTGATAGACTAGGACTAGTAAACGAACAAAAAGGGCATCTTAAAAATCAGTAACATACCAACTCCATCAACTGTTTGAGCTGACCTATCTCTTCTGGCAGCGATCCAAGTTTGTTGTTACTTGCAATTAAGACTTTGAGAGGCAGACCACACAGGCAGGCAGGCAGGGCAGACAGCTGATTTCGACTGCAAAGACAATACCAGAACACAGGTGAACATACAACTTCATGCTGTTTCTGAACGGTTTATGAGTCAGCAAGAAGAAAGGAGCAATCCGAGAAGACATTTTACAAATATAAAAGGTCCAGTAAAGTTTCTGCATTTGTCATAAATCCCAAGTACAGAAGATAATAAAATATATTTCTAAGAAAGGCAGAGGCCCCTGGGTGGCTCAGGCGGTTGGGTGTCTGACTCTTGATTTCGGCTCAGGTCCTGATCTCAGGGTCCTGGAATGGAGCTCAGTGGGGAGTCTGCTTCTCTTTCTCCATCTCCCTCTGCCCCTCCCCTGACTCTTACACGTGTTCTAAATAAATAAATAGACAGATAAATAAATAAATAAATAAACTTTATCTTAAAAGAAAGAAAGAAAGAAAGAAAGGCATAGGCAGTTCTCTGGGAAACAACTTTTTCCAGCACAAGGAACCCCATCAAAGCCCCTGCAGAAGCTGAGTCCTTGGCCAGCCAGGAGGCAGATGGGCATCGCGCCCTGTGCCACCAATAGCAACAGGAAGCTGGTGCCAACTGTTCTCTTCCTGACAATGTGAGCCGGAAACTCAGCAAGATCCAAGCACCATGAAGGCATCCTCCCGTTCATGTGAGTAGTGATGGGGAAGATCATTTTGCTGCAACTTATAAAAGACCTCCAGCCTGATTTCCAACATTTTGATTCTGCTTCCTTTTGCTAACACAAGAGCCACTGTGGTTAAGGTCAATTTGGGTGTCGGCAAGGGAGCTAATTAAAAGAAGAAAAAAGCTGGGACGCCTGGGTGGCTCAGTCCGTTAAGCATCTGCCTTCGGCTCAGGTCATGATCCCGGGGTCCTGGGATCGAGCCCCGCATCGGGCTCCCTCTCCATCTGCCCCCGCCTCAGCTCATGCTCTCTGTCGCTCTCTCTCAAATAAATAAATAAATAAAATCTTAAAGAAAAATATAAAAGAAGAAAAAAGTAAAGTTGGCCTTCTGGCAAAAGTGAAGCTAGAGCTTCGAGGGGTTCGTTTTCACAGAGTACCCAGAAACTGCTCACATTCAGTTTCACAGAGAACCTAAAAGTCTGAGTCCAGTTCTCACTTCTACTTTGCATGAAGAAGCTTTCTACTGAGAAGTGTCTGAACTTCCTACCATCAATGCTTAGTTTTTCTGAGAAATGGGAAAATAATGGACAAGTGAAATCCATGAACCATCTTATGTATGTTAGCCATTTATTTCAAACTCCTCTCCCACAAAAAGCCCTTTCCCTGCCATCAAGTAAGGAGATAGATGGTTTCCAGTTTCCCTGCCTTTCTTTCCCCACCATTGTGCTGATGAAGCCAATGACCAGGCTGTGAAATATCTAAAAATCTATCTGTCAACTATTTAGAACTTCTTTTGTGTGTATGTGCACACATGTACGAAGCTTCCAACGTTGTGGTACAGTGTGCATGTATTTATGGGCACACATAAATCAGCGTGTGTGAGAGGAAGGGACAGACAGCCTGAAAACACACCAAAATGTTAATCAGTACTCCTTTGAGGGGGATTAGGTACAATGAATGTCTTTTTATTTTCTTCCTTACACTTCACTGAATTTTCCAAAATTCCTACAATGTGCTTTTATAATTAAGAAATAAATATCACAGGGCGCCTGGGTGGCTCAGTCCATTAAATGTCCAACTCTTGGTTTCAGCTCAGGTCATGGTCTCAGGTTTGTGGGATGGAGCCCTGCATGGGGCTCAGCACTCAGCGGGGAGTCTGCTTCTCTTCCTCTGCACCCCCTACTTGCATGCTTTCTCATGGGTTCTCTCTCTCTCTAAAATAAATAATCTTTGAAAAAGAAATAACACTATAAAAAGATAAACTACATCTGCATACTGGTTACATGGGTGCTTCTATTTATGAAAATTCACTGAGATGTATAATTATGAGCTGCATATTTTTCTGTATGTATTATATTTCAGTTAAAGGTTTTACTCCCCTACTTACCCGTATAAGGAGGTGGGAATCATATGGCTAAATAAAGGGCATCTCTAGCTGATGGGCTGAGAAAAAGCAGGTGTTATGCTCTGGAAAGAACCTTTCTAGGGGCTCCTGAGTGGCAGTTGGTTAAGCGTCTGCCTTTGGCTCAGGTCATGATCCCGGGGTCCTGGGATCGAGCGGCTTCTCCCTCTCCCTCCACCCCTCCCCCCTCACTCGTGCTCTCTCTCTCTCTCAAATAAATAATAAAATCTTAAAAAAAAGAACCTTTCTAATGTGGGTGCTCCCCCATAACTACCCTGATATCTCTTCTGCTCCAAGTAGCCAATGCCGGGGTGATAGGGTTTTAGCAAGAAAAGATACAGTCAACCTTCCCTCCACTGCCCAGATCTGCAAAGAAAGCTATTTCCAGAAAGGAGTGGGAAGGAGTGGGAAGGAGAGAGGTTTCTCTAAGAGGGTCCAGCAGAGGGAGGGAGGAGACTGAAAGCCCTATGGGGGCAAAGGGGGTCCCTGGCACTGGAAGGACCAGCTGGCTCTTCACATCCCTCTCGTTAGAGTAACAGGTGAGAATAAGGGTGATGGGCATGCCCTGGCACTTTCTCCTGTCTCTGAGGGCAGCGGAAGGGGAATGAGGGCTACCAGCCTGTCTTCCAGCCTCTGACTTCCACCCACAGGAGCCCTGTGGGGCTATTCCGACTGGTTGATAGGGACTTCCTGGTGCTCTGATGAGAGAGCTTTCTCCAAGCTCCATAAAAAGCTCCTTAGACACTACCTCTGGAAAAGAGAATGAAGTTTACTAAAAGGTGGCAAGTAAACAACTTGGAATGTAATTTGTGTTTATAAAATATTTATTAATATGTAATTTCGTAAAGTGAGCATTGGTTACTTAAAATGTTAATAAGGCAATTTTTTTTTATTTTGAAGCCATATTTAAACTTCCTTTTGAAGAGAAGATAAGGAAACAAAGATTAGTATTTTCAAAAACTTCTACATTCCTATTTTCATAGAATTAACAGTTCCAGTTGAAGATTCTTCTTGTGTTTCTTTGCTTGGAAACTCGGATTTAAACTATTCCCAGTCTCACCGTAATGCAGGCATCTCATCAGATTAACAGATATTGAACCAGGAGAGCACTTACCACACCATTTAAGCAACACAATGAAGGCTCTGCTCATTCAGAAGCACAGTATTTGAGATTACATGGGATTAGGCTCATGGGAATTCTAGGATGGGTACTAATTTAAAATAAGCATTTTAAATTTAAAATGTTAGTATTAATTTTAAATTTAAGCATAATTAAATGTAAGCATGATTTCTTTGATGGGGGTACAAGCTTTTTATGCTAAAAGTTGCTGATGGAATAGCCTGTTTCTGTATGCCCCACGCTATACTGTGGTTAGTCACCTATAGATAAATCCAGATGCCAGAACTTTAGTTTTAATTCAGCATGCTACAGACCTGGGTCACATTTCTTCAATTTCATTGCTCTAGTCTCCCAGGCTCGACTTCATATATTTTATCACAGGGTGTTCCTGTAGGACTTGTAATTTCCCCAATAGAAAAAGGAAATACACATGCACACAAAAACCCATTAGCTTTCCAGCAAATATTTATAAAGAACAGGAGAAACTCCATTTCCCTTTAATCCTCTACCCACTAAAGACCACATGGGTAGCCTGAGTTTTTTGAAACCACTCATCTGGCAGGAATTTTTCTCAAGCAAAAAAGTGCCTCAGGCCGCAAACAACTGTCTTGCTCCCCACTTGTCTCCTGCTAGCCTCTGTGCTAAAAACAGGCCCTCCACAGAAAGAGTGTTTAAAATAAGGCCGTATAGTGTCTGATAAGGTAATGGCCAACATTTATTTTCAAATCTACCCAGGAAGACCCATCTGAAAGCAAAATTAAAAAAAAAAAAATTTTTTTTTTAACTCGCTCATTACAAAAGATTAAATTAGCGGGGGGGAAAAGGGGCCACTCATTCAGAAGCAGAAATTACAGATTTGGTCATGGCAGCCTGAGCCTTCCTGCCCAGCATCTCTTGTGACTCTCCCTGCCCACTCTGGGTGGAGGCTGATGGCACAGGGAGGGAGGAGGAGGGACGGACGGGAAGGCCTTAGGTTTTTACCGGGCCGTGTTTATTGCTAATGCTTTCTCTTCCATCGTTCTCAACTGAATGACTCCCTACTAGATTTACTGCTCTATTTCCTCATGTCAAGATGAAACAAGGCAGCTCAACATAATTTGAACACTTTTGATAGCTTTAGTTTACAGGATAAATTTCTCTTGGCTTCAAGTACCCACTATCCCTCACTTAACCTAATCCCTCAATTAAGGAATTTGCAAACCAAGTCATTTCCGTATGCTTTTACTGTTAGAGAGTCTTAATTTAATGTGTTTTGACGATGGCACTTGTTAATAACCATGTTTTCAGACTTAATGGTGGTATTTAACATTATTTGTTATTGGTTTTATCAGAAAGTTATTTTCCCTAAAGTATGTGATGATAAAAAAAACATACTATATTCTTACATGTGATTTTATTATCAGGGTATCATATTTTTTGTTGTTGTTGTTCTACTGGAATAGTGTATGGGTTCTTTTCAGTGTATGGGTTTTATTCTACTAGAATAGTGAATGGGTTCTTTTTAGTGTATGGGTTCACATAATAATTGAGGGTAGAACTCAGCAGAAAATTAATTTATAGGAAGACTTCTATAACATAGTCACCTATTCGGCTGGTGAAAAGGTCACCAACTGTGGACTTAGAAGGCCTGGTTTCAAATCTTCCCTCTGCCACAAACATTTAGTATAGGTTTTGTTGTCCTTAAAACATACATAATAATACTTATGTAACAGTAACAGGAGACATGAGATTATGGATGCAAAAGTGCTCAGCCCAACATTAAATCTCTACATAAAGATGAAACCATACCCGACCGCTAATGAAGCAAAAGCAGTGGGGACATGACCAAAAAGAGTACGTGTGCTTAGCTCGGTTTTAGTTACTTGTTTTATTTT